GGTTTAATAAGAGCGCTGGGAGTAGTGGAAGCGACATCCAGGAACAAATCACATTGGAATCGCATGCGCATCAAGGTACCGATCATAGGGTATTTGGATATGATTGATGTGTTGGGTCGGCCCTGCTTCGCCGTGCCCCTGTTCGTGTCTTTTGCTATCTCTGACATATGAAAGGCACAGCGCAGGTGTACGTCAGCGGCTTGGTACCGACCTTGGAAGATTTCGATCGATGAAAGCAGGAGACAAGCTGTCAGAAAGGTATCGATAGACTGGATTTTTGAACAGAGCAGAGATTTCATGTGTGAGAGAGCGGATGCATAATGGACCAGAGCGGAATGCTGCTGATTGCTGTTCCCTTGGCCGTTAGGGTTTGTGGAATTTGCAAAACTGCGATGCAAGTCCGCCAAGGAGATGGCGGCGTATCGGATGACGGGCTCGGCATAGCACATTTGGAGAATCAAATGATCCTTGGAAGAAGCGTGAAAACATCCCAAGAGTTGAGATGCGGTATGCCGGCGAAAGTAGTCGAAGGACATACTTTCACCAGCTTTGGTGAAAAGAGGAAGGTTAAACGGGGGCTGCAATGCCCCCTGCTCTTCTGCCTGAGAGGTCTTTACCACTTCTGGGGGATACCCGTCGCACTTCCGTCCGGTGCTGGTACACCTCACACATGCTGGCCGGGCTTCATCACATTTGACGCGCCGGATCCTACAAATAGTGAGCGCGTTGTGCCAGATACCTACCCCTTGGTAAGCTGATTAATCGGTCTTACTTGCAAGTATAACAGCCCGTGCGCACTCTAGTACATTTCTTTGGTTTTTTTGCCATAGTATGTGTCTACTACCTGACAGCAGCTCAAGGACAACTAGCGGATTATCATGCTTGGTAGTGGAATGGCATGGCCAGGTGGCCCCCCCCCCCCCTTTGTATATGCAGCAGGAAGATCGCCATATCTTCTGCACTTTCGGTCCGACGTCTTCCGTTGTTCGGTTCTTCAGTGAACCTTAAAAAGGCATGCTATACCGGGCAGGGACTAGTGTCTCATGCACGAATTTCCCAAAGGACCATCAAAACATTTTGCATGTTTCGCTTTCACTCACTCACTTGAAAGGCACGAACTTCTGTTCCTTCTTTTGCTCCAGCCTGCTGTAGACGATAGAGTCATAATGTCAATGTAAATCTGATACTTATTCTAGATAGCGCTGTCAACATCTAGCTTCTGTACACAAATACTAAGTCTAGTTCGGTGAATTTCTACACTCTCGCCTATTGGCGTAATTATATATTTCCGGTAGACCGACGACAATGGGCTTGTCAAATGCCGGCTTTTCCTCGATGACTGGGACGGAGCGATGGGGGTTGAATATTTACACAGCGGAAGTACTTAGAGCTGGCGTCATCTAATTGGAAGGAACTCGCGTTGGGACAGAGAATATAAATACTAAATCAAGGGTACACGCTGTTACGGCTGTATTGTGTTAACCATCACTGGGAGAAAGACTTGGATCTGAACAGCCAAAAATGGAAGTTTATCATAGAGCGATTGCTATTTGATCTATTGAATTCGGAGAAGGCTTAGCGACTGTTGATAGAGTGAAAGAGAGTATGAATGAAGGGAATCCATCGCGTTCCTCGATCTTTCTGCCTCTATTCAAACCCCCCCCCCCCCCCCCCCCCCAACCCACATTTCTAGTGCGTGTTATGGGGCTTTGTGAACCAGCCGTACACAGTCGGCGAGGCCGTGCTTCTCTTCAGGGCTACCGGGCAGCTGACTCACAATTTCGACCGGTTTCTCCAGTCGTAGCTCGACATTCTTTTCCCCACCGGTTCCAATGGTCCACGATATGGTCGCAACATTGTCCTTACCCAGCGCAACCTTGGTTTGGATGGCTTCACTGAGTCCAAGACGTGGTTTGAAGAGCACTTTAGTCGACCCTGGTGCGATAGGTCGAACTCCGGCCAGTTCCGTGCAATACTCGTAGATGGGCACACTGGACCATGCGTGGCAGTCTGACCGCTGTCGGACGTCGTCTTCTTCCCAGGTGGACAAATTGTTGGCTAGCATATTGCGCCACGGGTCCCACAGCTGGGGCCAGAAGCTGTCGTAGACCTGATCGCCAGCAAGGGACAACGCACGAAGGGCATAGAATCGCATCATGTACGAGCATTTTGCGAAGCGAGAGTCCGCGAATGATTCAGTCAGAAGGCGGGCATGATCCTCTGGTCGCGCGGTACCGGAAAGAACTGCAAAGACCTGACAATGTTGTGAATAGGACGATTCGTCAGCGATGTCGGCTGTGGAATCGGTGAAGAAGCATCCGTCGTAACAGTGCGCTCGAATGGCTTGTTGCAGGGCGGCTGCACGTGCTTCGTACTCATTTGCATAGCCCGGTCGACCAACGTCGCGAACAAGCCGTGCCGCCTGTTGAAGAACATAAGCGTATAGCATGCTGAAGTATGTATGGCGGTTTGATTTGCGACCGGAGGTGGGCACCCCTTTGTCGGGATAATCGTCCGTCGCACCCCAGGTGGTGACCCAGTCGACATACTGCCACACATCCTCAGGTAATCCGCTTACAAGACCCAAGGAATCAATGTGTAGGTCAAAGAAGTCGAGGACGCCGTCGATCCGGGGGAGGAACGAACGAGCAAAGCGAGTGTCGCCGAAGTAGAGATGGTGATCGCAGACCTGCACGACCCAATACAACGGGAAGCCGGCAATCAGCTGAGGGACGTGAGAAGGGAAGCGAGACTGAGTGAGACCCTCGAAGGTGACTGAAGCTGCAAAATTTGTGATTGCTTGTCGCATCAGCCGGTCATCGCCCGAGAGTAGATAGTGAAACAAGCCGACGGCGCGACTGTCGCCGGAGTATCTACCAGGAATGTTAGTCGTCCCTGGATACGATCCCAGCGGGTATATCTGGTTGTGGACTTACTGAAGTTGCTCATAGAACGGGCAGTCCGAGTACCCGTCAAACATGCAGTTTCGCATGGTGCGGATTGACACGTCCCATATGCGTTCGCTGTATTCATCGCCAGGCTCGGTCCAGCTGGCCTTGACGGCGAGGGGATAGTTCACTTGTGTCGCCTCCAAGGGAAACATACGGACCGGTTCCTCTCCCACTATGATCTCGAGACGTAGAAGGTGAAACGTCCGGAACCAAAATGGCTCGTACGCCACGGTTTGTGTGTCAGGGATATCTAAAGTGACTGCATCATAAGGACCAATGAGATGGCCAGCTGTTGCGTCCAGCCGATCTGCCTTCTTGCGAAAGTACGGGTAGGAACGAGGCTCCAGCTCGTACCCCTCCGAGTACGTCACTTTCATTGTGATTTGCGACGAGCTTTTGGTCCCTTTAAATGCCCATCGGAGGAAGGCTGTTGAGTGTGTGTCGGCCTGCAATTCAAGCATGTGCGAAGAGCGCTCACGAAGAGTCAATGGTCCACTCCCAGACAAGCAAGATGACCATTCATCTGCACTGATATAACTCTCGCAGGCGCGTATCACGTTCACGACGATGGGGCTCTGATCAGGCATTGGGATCCCACGCGGACGTAAACGCCAGGGTGGTAGATCGCCATTCAGCGTTTTAATCCCGTAAGCCTTTGGGGTCACTGATGGGCTATGTATTGTCGGAGCGACTCGTTCGTATATCTGTCAAAACGAGATAATGAATTGTGTGTTCAGAACGGCGGGATGGAGCCAGCTTACGTGTAAAAACCCGTCATCTATCAAGCCCATTGGGAATTGAATACTCTCATCCACTTGTGCCTGCCATCCCGTATGCGAATCTAGTTCCACGACGTTACTGCCTGTCTCTATAGAGCCCACCACAGTCAATCCCGGCAGCGTCGTCCTCTCAAATGGCATGGCGCCGCGGGAGGATACAAAGTATCGCACCACCACGAACCGAATTACATTATGTCCGGAATTGAGATAAGGTGCGATATCGAGCGTGTCATAGTACCAGATCCACGGACTGCTGCGCGCTGGCCCGACAGCGACACGGACCCCATTGACATAGAGCTTATATCGCGTATCCGCAGAGAAATGCACCAGCGCGCGGGTGGGACTTTCCGGAAGGTCAAGCTCACGGCTGAAATGGACAATTCGCCCTGTCGTATTGTCTCCCGACGAATCAACCCAGTCTGGTGTCCAGATCCAGTTGGCCTGGAGGGAGTTGATGACCTGGCGAGACTTGTTAGTATGCTATAGGTGTGCCAACAGAAATTGGTCGCGCATACTTTCTGTTCGTCCGACGTCACCATATTGTGTTAACCAGGTTAGGGTCCTTCCGCATATTAGACTGTCAGCATTCGGGTGTCGCAGAAACGGGTTGGTTTTGAAAATATTAATCTGATCGGTGTCTATGACACGCGTGAGGGGTTTGGTTTGTCTCGGGCTATTGCGTCCCGAGGTGGATGTTCGGTTAATTGCGTATCTTGTAGATCTGCTTTCTGAGGTTATATAAAAAAAAAAAAAAAAGTGTTAACCAGGACGAAGTGACGCTAGAAAAAAAAGAAGAAAAGAAACACTTCATAGTCTATTTAAAGCAAGACAAAGCAACCTTTAGTATCTCGGCTAAAAACAATAGTCTAGTAGATTCATCAGCCGGAGGAATAGTATTCATAGAGTACGGGACGTATGAGAAAAAAAAATTGAATAATTCTTATAGGCTTCACAAGACGCATTGTCTGGTAGACTAGGGGCTAAGTATTAAGGTCCAGCACCCTGTTAGTAGTGATACAATTACTCTCTTGATTCATGGCATCACTCCATCATATAGAGGCCTCTAGAGAGGTGTGCCACGGCCGAAGATCAAATATGGAGACCTAGGCAAAAGGGAACAACGTTAAGCAGGGAGTAATTAGGGAGAAGGTCAATCAGGCATGTTTATTTTCATTCAAGCACTACATGAAACTCATGCATCTCAGCAATCACAGGCGCTCTCATGCCCCCCGCTGCTACCGTGAATCCCCCCCGATAGCTTGACTGACAATCAAGCAAAAAGGTCTTCACCCTCTTGCACAACATTCGCACGAGCTTCCGGTTTAAGTTGGTCAATAGCAGCTTTTCGCGCCTTAAAGATCCGCGAGTAGAATTCTGCATGTATGGATCAGTAGTTTTTCAGCTGCGAGGTGGGTAGTTGCTTACCTCCTTTCGTTGCATTCATATCACACATCTCAAAGGTCGTGCGCGAACCGTCCACCCAAGCGGACAACTTGATACGGTAAAGCTAAACAATGTTAGCAAGGTTCGTCGTTATACGTCCGATAGTATCATAGAGTTCGTTCCTACCTTGAAATAGGCATGTGAGGGGTCTGGGAAACGCAAGACTCCGATATTGAGGATTGTCTGCTCGTGGGGCTCACCCCTGCCCCAGAATGCCTGGCACAATTCGGTAATAGTTCCTGACTGGGCAACAATATTGGCCATCTCCTGGATATCAATCTTGGTGGCATCGAGAGCATCCTGATCAGCGATATGCTTGGTCCACCAGGTGAAGACCTTTTGGAGCAAGTATTAGCCAGCGTTAAACTCTCCTTTTTGTTTTTGCTTTTTTATTTACACCAACACTACTCCGTACTGCGTACTGAGATAGGGTGCCAAAACTTAAAAAATCATGTTGATCCCTATGGAGCAGCTCGCTTAAAGATCGATCGTGAATGGAATCATCCGAAAAGGAAGTGGATCGACAGGATCTTTTGGCACCCGATCTCACTACAGCCAGCCGTTCCAGGTTCTCGCCTGCAATGCAAGCTCATTGGTCAATTCTTTGGAGAGAGGCAATGGTATTGTGGACTCTGTTGACTGCCGACCGACGAAGTATCGGCCGAGGAGCCCCAAGATGATGATGTACTGTATTGTAGGAACTTCTGGACTTGTACATTGGGATGGTCGGTATCGAAAAGCATGTAATATACATGGCTTTGAGGTATATGAAGTCGCTATATTGACTTGGTTAAGGTTAAGTGAAGTGGTCCCTGGACTATCTGCCGGAATATACCTTATGTTCAGCTTTGCCCGTAGCAAACTGTTGTCTATCGAACATGCTGCGTCATTTGCAAGGGTTTTACATTGTCCTTATGTATTCCTTCTCATATTGGTATCTTAATTAAGGATCGTCAGTAAAGGTAAGGCTCTAGATCGTGGCCTGCCGCAGAGAACCATGGTTGAGGAAGACACGCATCTTGGTATAGAAGCAGGGTTACCGTGTGATGTCATGCATGACATAAATCCTCCCTCACGGGCTCTCTCTTCTATAAAATGGTATAGTTGGTCAATCGGACTATATTTCCACTCTACTTGCATTACAGACCATATCATTTGAGACATGATGGACGACCACAGCGACTCACGAAAAAGAGTGGCCATCATTGGCGCTGGCGCGGCGGGCATGGTAAGCGGAATGTGAAATGAACTCAGTAAACTTGCAGGACTAACAGAAAGATAGTCGTGCGCTTCTACGCTAGCAAAGCATCCGCAAAATTATGAAGTGACACTGTTTGACACCGCGCCACATACCGGTGGTCAGGCTATCTCAATACCTCTAGATGACTCCCGTCATGGCGCCAGCTGGTTGAATGAGGGCGTGCAGGGTGGCTCGCCTATCTTTCGACATACCTTCAATTTCTTCCGAAGATACGGCTATAACCCGGTGGCAGTCAAACTGCAAGTGTCTTTTGGAAAGGGACCAGACAGCTTCTGGACGAACATGTTCCCTAGTCCGCTGGTGGATCGATTTTCAGACGAGATACAAAAGTTCGGTCGCGTATTGAAATGGATTAAGCGACTCATGCCATTCCTAGGTATTCTGCCAGTGAAGATCATGTTAAGGCTATTCCGATTCAGCACTGAGTTTGGGAACAAAATGGTACTGCCATTGCTGGCTCTCTTCCTGGGAACCGGTAACCAAACACCCAATGTGCCGAGCGTGCTACTAGAGCGACTCTTCAATGATAAGAATATGAGATTGTGGGATTACGATCCTGATACGCTTCTACCCAATCAACCCACCATGTATACTTTTCCGAGTTTGAGTGACTTCTACCGTGACTGGGCTCGGGACCTGGGTTCAAGAGGCGTCCATCTCCGGCTCAAGACTAGCCCCGAGCTTGTAAAGCGAGATAAGCATGGCGTAACCCTACGTCCACGCCCTGCGATCAACGATGCGAATGATAATCCGGATGACATCGATCTACCATGCGAGGAGTTCGATGAACTGGTTATTTGCTGCCCGGCCGACGAGGCCAAGAGATTACTTGGAAAAAATGCCACATGGCGCGAGAAGTACGTCCTGGGTGGTGTCAAATTCTTCAACGATATCACCATCACGCATTCCGATTCGGAATATTTTGATAGTATCTTCGAGACCCGATACAAGAGCGATCTTTGTGCGAAGGGCAATAGCCAGTCGCGCAAAGACCAGATTTCATTCTCCCAAAAGACTCCGAGAACACGGAAGGATGGATGGGAGGGCTTTGCTCCAATGTACTATATTCATTCGTACGAGTCTGATCCGGACAAGATTGAGATGGGCTTTGACTGTACAAACTACCAGCATCAGTTCCGTGAGGCCTTTGGTGAGAATGCCATTTCCCCAGAGTCTGACCAGCACGTTTATCAGACAATATTCCTTAACGACGAGGAGAAACACCTCTGGACATGGAAAGGCATCGACGAGAGTAAGATAATCGACAAAAAATGGTGGCACCAATTTGGGCATCGTTGGAAACATTATCTACGTGTGGTACCAGGCATGATGTTTATCAATGGTAAAAATAGAACGCTGTACGCTGGCGCTTGGACGATGGTGGTGAGTTTCGCCAAACCACTTCTCTCACTACTCCGCAAGCTAACTACTACACAGAACATGCACGAAATCGCCTGCATATCCGGAATTGCAGCGGCCTACCGACTCGGTGCTGAGTATGAGGCTTTCGACGATTTTGCCGAGGACTTCTTCGCCAAGTATCTCCTTGTCTCGCATGGCGTGCGTTACAAACGAAGCGAAACTGCGATCTGATATGGCTGAATTGACACTCCATGTTCAATCTTGGAATTTCCTATCTAGTACACATGATAAATACGTGCCTCTATACGCCTTCCCGGCAGCAAAGGTCTGGTCCTGAGCAAATGCGACCGACACAAACGTCGTGAGACTCAACACACCACAAGCTCCAAATCCGTTTCCGATGCCACCGCGTCGAGAAAGCCTTCCATATCAATGCCAAACATCTTGGTGTACTCAAAGATCTGGCGGAACCAATCGTACTCAGGGAGGTTATAGTATTCGAAGTACCCGAATGCAATCGACGCCGGAAAGGAGATCACGCAAGCACCCAGGGCAACTGTCTTTGGTTGCAGGAAGTATTCGGACGATTTGGCGATGTTGACGGCCATGTTGTGCATCTCTTGTACATCACAAGGAAAAGGGGGAAGCGAAGGGTGACAGCCCTGGGGCGCATTGGTTGCACAGCTCAGATATAGCATACCAAGATTGCTGAAGAGAAGAACATGAGACGTCCAGTATAACAGGTGAATATGACCCGATTCAAGGTCGGGGAAATAGATGCATGTCGGAGGGGCCCTTTCCTGCGGTATGGCGTAACTTAAATGAAGACTGGATGGTTGTTCCCAGTGTAGCTTACTAGGGTAGTCGCATTTATACGTCTCATGCCAGACCCGTAGCCGTCTGGAGAGGCTAGAATATACCCTGAAGACTCTAGATAGCCTTTGCAATTGCTGGTGGCAGTCTGGTGCATTATACACCGAGTCAACCATCTGCAATAAAGCCGGAATCTCCATCATCAAGTCTAGTAAATGTTGCTTCGGCTCCTTCTTACACCCCTTCCAAGGAACGGATGTCCATTCTGGTGTTGCAAGGTATGTGGGTTTCCTCGTTCCAATACTATGAATCATCTACCGTGATTCCAATTAGCCGTGACGTCTATACAGCAACATCGCAGATCTTACAGCAGAAAGGCGCAATGCGTCGAACAGTCTATGTCTCGCCTGGGTCCATGTAGTGTCCAGCCCTTGTGAATGAACCAATGACAGGGCCCCGTGAGTATGGCTAGCCCACCCTAGGCCTCTGCTCGAGGATCCTTCGATAATCTGTAATGAGGACTTCCTTTTAGCACGAACTCAACTACGAATGGGGAAGGGAATCCTGCCTCATAAATTGCTAAGAACATCATGCTGGCCAGAGTCTCATCACGAAGGCCCCGGGTTCCATTCTGAATGGATCTGTGAAGATGCCGCAATGATTGCGAATATGATTCTGAGCTTAACCGAGTCAAACGAGGATCCTGGGAAATACGACCCATTCGAGCCGCTCCAAGTGCCAGCAAAGCCGACTTCAGGCTCGGCTCGTCTATATCAAGGTGTGGGGTAAATGCCATCCAGTCGATATAACTCGACTTTCCGAACACGTCTAAGCCGGTCTGGATGACATTGTTATGGAAGTATGAGCTACAGTAATACGCGACCGCAGAGCGCTGAAGGGTAAGGGCGTGAGAGGATAGCCCACTGCTGCACGCACGATATGTGATCGCCTGGCCTGACAGGGTCTCAACCTCTCGATTGGCGGAGTTTACTCCGGCATTTGAACGAGACTCCTGTGGCTCGTGACTGGAACGGCCTTTGCCCTGATAGGACACGTTGATGAACTTCATCTCGCGCGAATAGCCCGGACAGGAAGTATTTCGCGACAAGCATTGACCACACGATGGCCGCTGTTCGTCGCACTGTGGATATAGTTCAGAGGGAATGCTCAAAATTAGGCAAGGAAGGCCACTCACCCGTTTCTTGCGCCTCCGGCACGCATGACACCCTTTCGAGCCTCCTGCGATTCGTGCCATTGAGTCTAGGATAATGATAACAAATAATTTGCCCTACTGTATGATGCACCGAGCATAGATTGAGATTCACGCTCACATCTTTGAGAAGATTATTTAATGATCCTTACATAGCCCACGCCGTGGGGCTGCGAAGGTGCGCCACAGAATACGAGGATGCCATCTAATGCCAAGGTTGAGAAAGAGTCCAGCAACATTTTGGCATCGGCGCATTACATTTCCTGATTTGGTATGGCTCATAATGACTAAGACTTTTAGAGTGCTTTCTGGTTGGTGGTTATATTTGGCGTCATATGATAGCTGGACTTCAATATATCTCTTTCTGCAAGCAAACATTTTACATCTAAGGCAGATGAATTTATTACCAGAAAGCGCAAAACCTTTCTTAATCCAGTAGTCATGATGATGCGTAAAGCTCAAGTGTTCTGCAATCTTGTCTCCTCAAGAATTGAGTCTCGTAAAAATGTTGGCGCCTTGATGAATAGGTAATTTGTCGAACATAAATACAGAGGTTTCCAGAATATCAGATGTCCTCATTGTGTTTCTGTAGATCACTTCGTCTTTCATTCAGACAACTATGGAAACTGCTGCGTCAAGTACTCCTAAAGCAAGGTCCCACTGGGTCCAAAAGCTATACAATGCTTTGGGATTCAAAAAAGGCTATAACTTCATCTTGTGTATGCCCCATTCTCCAACCCTCGTGTGTGTAGCGATAAGAAGCTAACCGTGGACCAGTCTTCATTTTTGGCGGCGCATGGATGGGATTCACCCTCGCTCGTCTGGAATTCTTAGACTTCTCGACGTTCTGCAAGAACGCGGTGCCCGGGGAGTGCTTTTATTATAAGGGGCGAGGATACATAGGATTATACCTACATCTCGGTTGTATACTTCGTATGGCTCTTCACACGTTGATAGCTCTAATCAGCTACTAACATCATTACAGCTGCTGCCTTTCTTGCCTTCTTCCAGTTTATCCCGGCCATCCGATACAGGGTTATATTATTCCATCGCATCAATGGCTACATCATCATCCTGCTTGTTTTGCTCTCCAATGCTGGGGCATTAATGATTGCAAGGCATTCATTCGGAGGACTTCTTTCCACCCAAGCCGCCGTGGGCTTTCTAGTAATCCTGTCAACCTGTGCCATTGGCATGGCATATTACAACGTCAAGCGACTGCAGCTGGAACAGCATCGAGCTTGGATGTTACGGGCATTCTTCTATGTAAGACCACTTCGTACCAATGTAAATGTCTTTACGGACCTACTAAACATAGTTGCCGAACAGATGGGATGTATCATCACCGTGCGCATAATCCTCGTCATATCGACAACGATCATCTCAATCTCACCCAAGTATTACATGGCACAGCCTTGTGGCAAAATAGACTTCATGATTGGAAAAGAACGAACACTTGAGAGCTACCCAGACTGTGCCAGCTTTTACAACGGGTCCCACCCAGACCAAAATGTCCTTGTCCTAGGCGACTTCAATGGCGATGCGGACAGAATTGGAACCGCGCTTAACATGAACTTCGGGATGGCATTTTGGCTAGCCTTGTTCCTTCACTTTATAGGTGTAGAGATATATGTGAGTCCCTCAGAGCCGATGTTCCCCTTGTTCAAATGGCGAGTGCTACGGAAACTGACTTGAGTCGCGAATTTCATTAGCTGCAACTGACACCAAGGGAGTCTCAGCGGCTTCGCGAAATCTCCTACACCCGACAGTTAGAAGCTGGGTTTGAAAACCCTGGTAGGGCAGGCCTCACTGTTGACAGGTTTGGAGATAGTCAGCCTTGGGTTTCTGGGAAATAAACGTCTTGGAGAATTGCCTGATAAGCTGACCTGCCCGCTCAATTGTCTGACTCTGGTGGATCGAAGGAAGCTCCTTAGTAACAGGTAGTAACTTGTGATGTTGGAGCGATTCGTTCACTGCGGGTTGGGATATAAGACTGTCTTGTGCACAGGCGTACGATGGGTTCATGTTATTAAGCTATCTAGTGGTTATATATGTCATGCTTGCAAATATAAGAGAGAATCAGATAACAAGAATAGATGCACAACAAGGGCAACCAAATACAGAGGCAAGTAAGGTATGGGTACGAAGGATAAGCAATAGGAGGATATATCGAAGCCCCATTCACCGTTCTGGCTTTATAGGGGTTAGGCGATGATAGCGCTATAGTATAACCCCTCCCCCCCTCCTCGTACTTTGACACTCTAATCCCTAGAGTTCCTTCAGCGGCTGACGCAATCGTGAGACCTAGAGACAGGATGATGCTTTTCCTCCACGGATTTCCCCTGCGCGTGCAACATTCCGTTGATACAGAGATGAGAAACCCGTTTGATATAAGCCGGAAAAGTTAGGAAGTAATTAATGAAACTTCCGGCCTTCTACCTTAACAACAGGGCCTTCATAAACCTTCCGCGCAACCAGCCAGTACAACACCCCCGATAACCCCATTACCCCGACAAACAGAACCGGTGCCCAATTGAGAGTTTCGGTAGTGACTTCACGGTTCACAGGCCAGAAGCTCCAGAAGAATGCCCACGAAGCATATACCAGAGCTAGTATATTTATTGGCATTCCGAATCGACCAAGCGACCAACGGGAAGGGGGTAGTGGTGGAGATTTTGTTATGCGACGCACGATAACGCAAACAATGCAGATCATATAGGTACCCATGAGAGGACTGGTAGCTAGTGATAGCAAGGCGTTCATTGCGGCGCCGGAACCAATATTGATCAAGAACATGATCAGTGAGAAGGCGCATGTTATTATGACCGAGTTGACGGGGATATGGAGTGTCGGGTGGACCTATTCATACTATTAGTAACGAACCCAGCGACCGCTACAGTTGATGAGGGCCATACAGCCCCAAGCCAGGTAGAGAAGGGTAGGCCATTATCTCGAGCAAAGGCGAATGTCTGTCGCGATGCTGACGCCGTGCAGCTAATGGTGATCATGAAAAATAAGAGGAGGATGACCACGACTAATATGCTTGCACCGGTTGCATTTTTCATGGCCTCGGAAAATACATAGATAAATGGTAGACCAGCAGGTGAGTCAAGAGCATCTTGCACGTCAGGCATTATGAATAGATATGTCAGAACTGAACCCATGGCCAATGGTATATTTAGGACAAATGACAGTATCATTGCTTTAGGAACTGTAACACCAGCGTCTTCAATTTCTTCCGCTGTAACATGGTTAGCTGCTTATAAGTCACCTTACCAAGTTAGAGGAAATGCTTACACATATGTGCGACTGAGTCAGAGCCTGGCGGAAGACAGAATCAGTAATAGCCTCGTTGAGTCCAAATTATAGAGCTCTCACCCATGATGGTAAACATTGAGGACACTTGACCTATCATAACTGCCAAAGAGGGATTCGCCCATCCGGCCCCATAATCTTTAAAACCGAAGAATACGTCTTGCGCCTTTGCCTTGGGAGCAAGAACGAGTAACGTGACTATAATCGGAGCAAATGCGAAGAAGTGGAACGTGACGAAGATGCCCTCTGCAAGTGGAAGATGTTTCGCAGCAAATATATTAAAAAGGCTCATACCAATGGACGCTGCAGAGACGATCAAGGTTCCTTGCCAACGAGCCGGTGCATATGTCTCATGATTCAAGAAGATCACGCCCTGTATCATTGTTCCTGTTAGATAGGAATTGAATGCCACTGCGCTCTGCCAAGCGAGTGCCGAAAGCCACCCTAGCGTAAATGCATGCGTTAGTATCTATGTTCACCTTGATGACACTCATTGCTTGGCACTCATACCGGAGGCATAGCTAAGAAACTTTTGATATTTTCTAGGAGCGAATTCAGATACCCACTAGTAAGGAGCTTCAGCTTAAGCCTCTCTGTCATCCCGGATATACTAAGTACTTACATGGTACTGACCACCCGCGGTAGGTGCCCTATGTACGCAAAGTTAGTCCCAAAGCCGAGGCCCAGGTTGCCATACTCACATAGACGACATTTCAGCCAAAGAGAGAACGATAAAAAGCTGCCCACAGCATGCCCAAACCAGGGACCAAAACAGACATGGTCGCCCAGCCGTCCTTAAGCCCTGGGAGGTTGAACTTCCATCATGTCAGCTAATTCATTGCACGTTCAGGGGTAGCTCACGTTAGCACATTCTCCCACGTTCCCATAATACACGTTGTGAAGCCAATAGTACTGATAAGCCGGAAATTTCGCTTTGATGCATTATTAGTACTGTCAGCTAAAACGTGCAGAGAGGCTGGATGCAAACCCTCATTTCCTGTTTTTTACCCATCCGATGCATGTCCCTTTGGTCGTTCACAGTGAATCCCTCCTTAACGTCCTGCAATACATCTTCATCAAGACATTCTCTTGTATCGGGCACTGCCTGGAGATGTGGGCTGCGGTCCGTGCCGACTTCTTTCAGTTCCAACGGCCCGCTTGCCATGATGGCGATGAAGGATACAAATCCAGAGGAATAAGAAGGTTGACAGATTGTGGTGTGAACTGTCTTGGGGAAACTGAAGAATGAGATAATCCTTCGTATGTCGATTTCGCCCCCTGGAATAGGGTACGTAAATAAGAGCACAGCGTCGCATCACCATTACATCGCACGAGGTCGTACACGGACTATAGTGGGTATTAGTCTGTGTGTGAAAGTCTCGACATCAATTGGAATATTCCCTAAGCTACCCAATGGATACACGGAGTGGGCTCACCGGTGGCGCATAGCCTGCATAATGTCGCAGCTAAGTTTCAGGGATCATACACAAAGAACTTTCCCGTTGGGGTTTTAGTCGTACAAGTCCTCTCATCGAGGATGCTGAGAGGGTCGAGTCCCGATCCAATAGATTACACGCCTCCAGGATCTATCTGGCTCTTGAAGCCATCTCCTCCTTTATCTCTGAAGGCTCGCCTTGAAGCCGGTGTCCCCATTTCCAGACCAGGATGTAAGTCTAAAACCGTGACGTTACACACATATATATATTAACCTTCGAATATAACCTTTCAACTGGGACCATGTAATTTGGCGCCTCCTACATGCTGCTGGAGCCATTTTAATCCCTTGATCAGACCTGATCTAGCCCCGTCCCAATCAATACTCGTAAGCCTCTTTCCGACACCGAGAATAATTTATGACCGTTTGTGAAACAACATAATATAAAATAAATAACAATCGGGTCAGAGAAGCATTTATACATCATTACGAATGTCCAGGATCCCTTGTCCGTATGCCGAATATTTGGTGGTGCTTCCCTTGATGTTTCCTCGATATCTAGAATATCTCCCGTCCGGTATCCTAATCGCGCTTTGATGACCATCTCCGGCGATGAGGACCACTCCTCCATGGAGGTCACATCAGATAATCATGTCGCAATTATTGTTATTGCCGCAGTAGTTGGATTGATATGGTCGATATTGATGATTGTAATTAGAATATTCTTGCGTGTCCGTCTCATTCCACCACTTGGTTTTGACGACGCAGTTGCTGTTTTCGGAACGGTATAGAAACCCTCTAATTTGATATGTTCCTTCTCTAGAATACAGACTAATCTATAAACACAAAGATTGTTGGAGTAGTGCAAACATCGGTAACTCTTCACGCTGTGCACAATGGAATTGGCAAGCAGGAAGACTTACTTGCACCCGATGAAGCTGATACTGGGTTAAAAGTATGATTTGGTGTCTTCTGTGCTTCAGACGATTATCGATCAGGCCGCTAACAGTGAGATGATATGGTAGAGTATATACGTTGCCTGGTTGCTTTATCCGATCGCTGTCTGTTCCTCCAAAGTATCTTTGGCATTGCTCATAGCGCGTCTTACAGTAGCCAAGGTGGAACTTCGCGCGAGTTACGTACTTACCGGAATCAGCGTTGCTTGGGGAGTTGTTTCGGTCATTGTCGCAGCGACGCAGTGTAGGCTACCGCAACCATGGAACATTGGAGCCTCTCATCACTGTGATAGCATGGTATAGTCCACACCCAACATTCCATCAAAAAAGCGCCGTGTAGCCCTTCTAACCTGTCTCGTGGCAATATAGTTCGTCCGATGGACCGTGGTTGAGACGGGTAATATGCTGATCGAGCTGCTAATTCCCGGCCTCATCATTATGGTGCTTTGGAATCTTCAAGCGCGGTTCAAGACAAAGATTACCATCCTAGTAGCCTTCTCAGCGCAACTTCTGTAAGGGGCCGAAGGTTCAAAGGTTTCATATCAGGGTCTATACTGACATGATCTCAAACTATGACTTCAACAGGGTCGCAATCCCGACCATCTTCAGATTAATACTTCTTCACGAGATGACGACAGAAGACATTCGCAACAACCGGACTTTTGCAATCGCTAATACCGTGGTGCTCACCGAAATCACGATGCACTTTTCCCTCATGGCTGCCACCTTTCCATGTCTTCGCAAATTCCTGCAGGCGTTTGATACGAATATGGGCGCAACGACCCATATGATTACTGATCCGGACGACCCGAAGCATACTGGGTCAAACGGAAGCTATGGACCGAGGTCCTTAGACCAACCATCTCGTGGGAAAGGGACCAGTTTCGAGCATTGGTCTCGAAACAATAATCGGTACAATCGTAAATATCAACCTCACACCGTGACAACAGTTTCGGCCGGTGTAAGTGATCCGGGTGACTCCCCAGAAGGGGATGAAAGGTTACAAAGGCAACGCACGAGGAATAACGACATGGACAGTGGAAGTGTAGAGAGTGACGATAGCCAACTTGCTATAATCCGGCGGACGCAGCATTGGGAAGTTACGGTGGAATTGAGAGGAAACTGATATAGAAGTGACAGCCTAGCATATGACGGACCCTCTGTGTTACGACTTGCAATGTTGGAAGCGTTTGGTTATACAAGCTTGGATTCAACGACTAGCGTATACACATCCTTATTCATATATTTGAATCACGTAAAGAGTTTCTATTCGTCAAATCATATTTCTGTGAAGGGCTTTTTAATGCCCAAAGGAGGTAACCGTGGCAGCTCTGGCCTCGTCGCGATGCTCCTTCTGCCATTTCTTGGAATAGCGCACCCCAAAGCCATCACTGAAGACTTCACGAATGGCCTCGAGAGGCATGCCCTTGCATTCTGGGAAAAAGAACACCACAAACACCCACCCAGTGAAGCAGATGCCAGTGTAGAACCCAAATGCTCCGCTTGGCGTGATACCCTTCATCATGGACAGGAAGGTTGAGGAGATGATAATGTTGGTGCTCCAGCATGTAACCGTGTTCTGTTCAGTAACCGTTAGTCATATCGAACACTATTCCCTATTGCGACAGGAGGTAAAGAGGAAGGGGAATAACTGGGGACATAGGAAAGGAAGAACAAACCATCATCGTTCCAATAGCTCGGACCTCAAGTGGGATCAGCTCAGTTCCAATCCACGCAATGGTGGCAACGCCAGACGAATAGCAGGCAACGTAGCAAATGATGGTCACCAGGACCACGGTTCCTGGCCAGCCGACATTATTGCTTTCCACTTCCAGTGTTTGCAGGTTGACTGGAATATAGTGAAACGCGACCGCGGTGACGAGCATACAGATGGCCATACCAAGCACGGTCGTGGTCAAGATAATTCGTCGTCCAAATCGATCCACAACCAGGAGGTTTACGACCGAAAAGACAAAGTTGGTTCCTGACACGGTAATACCGACAGCCGTAGGGTTGTTAAATCCAACAATAGCGAAAAGCTTGGATGCGTAGTACATTAACGTGTTGAACCCACCCAGTTGACTGATGGCCATGACCACGCATGCAGTGAGGACGGCACGACCGGTAGACGGGGTAGTGAACACACGTTTAATCGTCGCCCAGATGGTGTCTTCGGACATCGCGTGCGTTGCTTCCTGAACGGACAGTTCGATCGATCGGATCTTGGCCTCGCGCTGTTCCGTCGTGGAGCTCGGGTAGATGCGTCGGAGGACAGCATCTGCGCTTGCGGTATCGCCGTGAGAGACCAGCTGACGAGGCGACTCGGGGCACAGGAAGAGAAGCGCAGCAAGAACAAGGGGTGGTACAGCTCCAATACCAACAGTTGCTCGCCATGCTTCTCCCTTCACCTGTGCAAACCCAGCCCCGATCGCGCTCGCCAGGAGCTGACCGAAGGTAACGCTCATGTTGTTGAATGCCACCATGCGACCACGATATTTGGCAGGTGCTATTTCACCGACTATACATCAATTAGTATGCAATCGCCTAATTCGAATAATGAACGTACTATACAGAGGTACAACCATGGCAGCACTGCCGACGCCAAGGCCCACAACGAACCGACCGACCGCAAACTGAGGCACAGAATAAGAACAGGTCTGAAGCACTGTTCCTAGAACGAAGAGAATGCAAGCCCCCCAGATGGGCCAGCGGCGGCCAAAGCGATCGGCAGTCAAACCAGCTCCGACTGCACCGATCAAAGCACCACCGCTCGTCAATGAAGTGACGAGTTCTTCCTCACTGGAGCTCAAGGTATGACCGAGGGACGTTCCAATTGTCACGAGTACCGAGGAAATATAGCCAGTATCGTACCCTGGGAAGGAGATTGTCAGTTCCGACCTCCTGGCTATCTGCGAAAGACATACCGAATAGAAGACCACCGATTGAGACAGTTACGGAAATCAACCACGCAGCCTTTGAGGCCGCCGTGTCTTCAATGCCACTCAGTTCGGAGACCTCCTGGAGACCTCCCTTCTCGGCATCTATCGTGTCAACATGTTCCACTTGCTCTGCTTTTTCTTTCTCGTACGAGTCGTCCTCGCCATCGTACTTATTCGGCGACATGTTGCAGAGCCTGGTGTGGTTTGATCCGGAGATTGCTAAATATGAATGGTGTCACTAAAGAGGAGTAGTTGCTTGATAGAGGTGGGTAGTGGAGGGACTGAGAGATGGTGCTCCCATGTCAGAACTGCCAGATGAAGTCCGCGGATGCATGAAGCCTTTTATTTCCTTTGGTTGATAGCCACCTAGCCCCAGACTAGTTATACTCCATTCTTCCCCACAGCCCCAGGCCCATTTTACCTTTCCCCGTGGGGTACATATCAAATGCCAATCATGTTCCTCCGATAGATCAAGGTAGGGGACCCCAGCCAGCCAAGAAGAACACTCTGCGCGAGAATCAATAGCCGGTGCGATGGGTAACCGACATAACTTGGGGCAAGAATGTTTTGCCACGCGGAGTAAGTTACTCTCCTTGTACGGTCCAGAGGCTAAATGGCCTCCAACACGGGTCCAAGAAGAAATACGACCCCAGATTGACCTCTTTCTCCGCATTGATAGGCGTCTGGGGTCAACCTTAAATCCCTGGCAGCCCCACTCAGGCCCTTTGTGAGGCAATTCTTTCCAGCGGGGTTTATTCCCTCTTTCATCAAATCTGCTCGGGTTAATTGTTCAGAAAAGCAGTTTCAGCCAAGTCCACATCCGCTTCGATTATAATGTAGAAAGTTTCCCCGAGCATATCTCAGCACACGGGGGTTCCCGACAGTCTTCGGCACGTTCCAGACAAGCCGAGACGGCTTTCTCCCCACGTTTTGTCCGCTTGCAGCCAGTGAAGCACGCTGAAGATACAGTTGGGAACTTATACAAGACAGTATGACATCATTTCAAATATCTCTTCTATTTGACATATCTCGCCTCAGAGTGGGTATGAGTGGATCTTCCCGGGTAGCAGTGGGTATGGGGTAGAAGTCCCAATCAAAATTCCCTCAAGAAGCAGCCAGTCTCTTGTTGCATTTGGTGAAGCCAGGGTACTATGTAGAACCTTAATCATTTCAATCATTTAATTCTTCCCAAGAGATCTCGACTTCCGTCTTCGACTCCTACACACCTTGGCGATAGCTGACCGGCAAATCAGGTTTTCAACTGCACAAGTTCCTCCGCGTGGCTTTTTTCCCATGGGTAACTCCTCTCAACCGCCCGAATAAGTCTCTCGTGTTCCGTGCTACGGACACGAATGCTCAGCTCGAATGGAGCTGGGTGACTGATAACTCCTGTCGTAAACTCGGGAGTGACGGGGACCTCTTTTCCATTTCTAACCACATGGGTAATGTTGAACACAGCCAAGGACCGCGCCACGGCAAGGTAAAGATTGGCAGCAGCCAGGTGCTGACCGGGACAAATCCGACGCCCAAATCCAAATGAGAGTAAGTGCGGATCATATTCCGGTATTCGTCCATTGACTCCCAGAAACCGCTCCGGCTTAAACTCGATTGCATTGTGGTATAGGTCTGGATCGTGAGCTATGGCCCTGTATGTGTGAGGTATGTGAGCAGACAGCTCCAGAGATATACAACGATAGCTAACGCACCAGATGTTTGGGACCAGAATCGCGCCCTTCGGAATGAGGTAGCCCTTGTATGTATCGTCCTCGCTGGACGCATGTGAGACCCCCAGTGGAGTCACCGGGTGCCATCGGAGGACTTCCTTCACCACGGCATTTATGTATGGCAGATTGTCACGGTCAGACAGGTCTGGTAGACGACTGGTTCCTACCACACGGTCGATTTCTTCTTGGGCCCTCTTTTGCACATCCGGATTCAGCACCATAGCCTGGAAAAAGCACGCCAACGAGGAGACACTCTAGGGCAATTGTTAGCAGTGTACACATACGAAACGGTTAGCCGGGGAATGTACCGTTTCGGCTCCTCCACCATAGAGCGATTGCGCAGACCACTTGGCCACGATCTCCTCCTCTGAGCCTGGCTCTACAAGGCCTTGTTCCAGAAGACTCGATAAGTACGAGGGCACATGCTTCTGCTGCTCAAGCTGTCGGCGAACAAACGCATAGGGCACGTCCCTCATTGCCGTCACTCTTTTCTTATATGCCTTGGCCGTCTCTTGCCAGCCGCTACCTGGAAACCAGCTTGGTAGGTATTTCACTACAGATTATCAGCATACGTCCTGACAAGTAGTGTAGGCCTCATACACATGGGAATGAAGTTGACCAGCCAAGCTCCCGGAAGGACCAGTTGCGAAAAGTCCTCCATCGCCTTGTCGACCAATTCAATCAGAGGATCACGCGTGTGTGGTTCAGTGACATAACCGTATCCGACTCTCAGAATGATGGAACCAGCTTCCCTAGAAGTATGCGTGATACTTTAGTGGTCGGTTCACAGTCTGAAATTTGAACAACTCACTTCCTGATGTGCTGGATCAGATCATCCGGGTTTTCAAGTATACGAAAGACGAGACGGTGTGTTTCCATATCGATAATACTGTGGTATTTGGAGATTGAAGAAGGAGTGCCCATCTCTTGATGCAACGCTTTCCGATACGCGCGAAACCGATTGTTGTACGGGAGCAACCCCAGTGTATCCTCCCAATCTGTTCTACCAAGCCAGTTAGTCATATTCCTCCTAGGATATCCTAAGTATTTGGCTACCGCACATTTCTGCAATGGGCAGCTGAGGCCTAGAGGAGTGCAATCCCGAGCGCTTCTCCATGAGATCTGTCACCGTCTGGCGGTCGTTCAGGATGACGATGGTTTGTCCGAAGATCGTTACCGAACTGATCGGCCCTACACAGGAATCCTGTGATTAGTGCTTTGAATCCTTCTATTTCCAAATTGGAGCATCGCGTTACCATATAGTTCCTTATGCTTGAGCCAGTGCAGCCAGTCTGGCGTGCCCGGTGACGGCAGGTCCAACAGGTTGCCAATAATGGGCTTTGATGTAGGCCCCGGGGGGAGTCTTTTCAGAGTTTTCCTTCCCCCCAGAGTCCATCGGATAATATAGAGGCCAGCGAAGCCGAAGAAGAGACTGACTACTAGCAACATGGTGACTGCAGCCCGCTATAGCAAGCATGGATGCCATGATCCGGGTTGGGCCCCCAATCCATTCTTATGGAACTTCCTCAGGCTTAACCCTAGTCAGAAATATCTCCATTCAGCTGAACAAGTGGTGGCAACGCATTGACAGGGGCGTTACATCGCTTTTGTGATAATCCTCTTTCGTGACACGGTGGTTGGTTCGATCCTGTGCTTGGTGGAGCCGATCATCTGCAGGATATATGAAGAATGCGCATGTATGCAACAGGGGTCTGGGTATCGTTTCGCTTATCTACCAATGTTTCACACGACTTTCACGTAGAGGTGGCTGTACAATTTCATGCTTCAACTTACTTTCCATTTCCTCCTTTGTCTGCTTTGGTTTTGGCCGTGCAAATCATTATCAATACAGTTCTGCCAAGTACCCAAACCCAGGTCGGTGCTGAGATACATTGAAGCTCAAGAGACAGCAACGCCTGACCTGCGTTCGTGCTTTGCCGATCGTTCTGCAAACCATACATTAGTCTGTATATTTCCCCTCATCTCTAACACAATTCTTCACGGACTTGACTGCCAGCCTAGTGTGACTCCTGTCTCTGTGGCCGAAATTAATACGGGATGGGCAAGTCGGTGTTATTCAGACATGATTTTCTGCTAGGAGCTAAAGTGCTACTAGTGGAATAAGCAACCAGCGGCCTGGTATCCATCGTAATATTTTCATATTGTGCGTTATGATTGTATCGTACGAAAAGCGCGGCACTATCGTAAGGGTTTCCAAGCGTTCCACATCGGCCTCCACCCATAGACGGGCTGACGGGCATCAGGATCCTTCCTCTTCAGCCACTCCGATCAGAGACTACGATTTTTGGGGCCCACCATCCGTCACAATTCTCAAATCTTCAACTGTCCAAGGCATAAAGAAGGGCTTACAACAACAATGACTTGTATTTTAGGCGCGCAGGGTCGTACCTTTGTCAAGAGCCAACCCTTTCTTCGCAAGCGCCGCAGACGTATCCTGGATTGGTTCCGTCTGGTCATCATTTTTTTTTCCCCCTTCTTCTTCTTCTGCACGGGGAGAAAAGTCAACCAATGGCACCTCCACCCTGTAGGAAATCTACCAATAAGAGACTCCCTGTTTTCTTCGACCGCGTTCCCCCGAGGGTGCATATTTTAGTCGCACAATGCTGCTAGGGCGGATCCACCGTCTGCCATAGCCCATAGGGAGTCCAGGCCTCTAAAATGTGTACTTACGGTAGAACCCCTCTATAAGTATCCCCGATATAGGGAATCCCCTGTTATTAGCAATCTGAATCACTTCCTAAATTAATTGCTTATAACGGGGTTTTACCGTATTATTCCGTCGTTCACTATTGCCACGTATCAGCCCAACTAGGCCATAAAAGGGTTAGTGCGGGGACGGCCCGAGGTTCAACTCTCAGCCAGTCTGGAATCTGGAGGAAGGAAAACCTTGATATGAGGAAGTAATTTAGCGCGCTCTCTAAATTGCTTATTTTAAGGGGTTGCTCATGCTGAATTATCTATACAGGTCCTACTAAAGTAGTATAAATATACGATACTAGATACAGATATCTAGTTACTATGTCCTGACGGTATGTGGTACCAAGTACATCTCTTCATACGCAGAAATATATATCTTGCCGGGCCCTTACTAGGACATGCGATAACCCGCAAAGAGCTTATTAGAGTTGTCAATGATTTCATAGGCATTGAGAAATGAGCTTTAGTACTAAGTCTAACTCACCTATATTCTAAATTCAAACTTAGTAAGGACATTCAAAACAGTACAACGCGGAAAGACCCTCATATGCCTTGGTTGGTGAGTCAAAGCGGATCTAACGAGAGGCCGACAAATGTCTGGGGTGAGGTTGATATCGCCTAATCCAGCCGTGTTACTCCTATAACACTACATCAGCTCTATTTGAATGCAAAACTGCTTAAGTTCAAGCCCTGGTCGTATTGTTTTAACAGCCGAAGATCATGATCTGTACATATCGGATGGCCATCTCCACTCCGATATCCCCCGCAAGCTACTAGGTAGCATGCAAGTGGAAACCGAATTAGTTTAGTCTGCTACTGCATGAAAAGCTGGACAAGCAGCTACAATATACCAAGGGCCAATGACTAAAGTTGGGATGCGAATCACAAAGACACTCTCCGCATATAACTAGTCAGCGTGGAGACCCACGTTACACCTCCGCAATCCATTGGGACTTTGACAACTCACACCTCAGCCTTCGCGTAAACGCCACTCGCATTCGGACTGCATGAGATACATTATAAAATCTAAAGACACGTACGCACTCTCTCTATCGCTGACGACAGTGATGCAATGGTGCAGTGATCAGATACTCCTGTTCCCAGCTAGTGCTGCTATAAAAGCATAGCATTCAACCCCTTCCTTACTCACAGGGTCACAGACCACTTAACAAATCTTCCTACGAAGATAATCTTCCAATACAAAATGGCTTACGTCTTGTATACTCCCCTGTCCATCTCTACCCCAGAAAAGTCTGGTGTCGAAGTGATGGTTAACAAAACAACAGTGAAAAACTCTTAGATCCCCCACAAACACCCCTCACCACCAACATCCCGGACAGCGATCCTCCCGAAAGCGAAAGCGAAAGGATCCCTGAACACTTCGACGGCCATCTTTCCGCAGGGTGGAAAGTAGTCTACCGGCAAGACTTCCCGAAACATGAAAAAATCTTCCTCTGCTCGAACTGGGCGTATGTTCGCCTTAAAAATGACATTCATCGGAATGAAACATTCCCGTACAGCAGCCAGCCTCCTGATGAAACCACCGATTACACGGTAGACGAATATGTGAAGAAGCTGGACAAGGAGTATCAGCTGGTTGAATGTAACTTTAATGATCCTAAACGGGTAAGTTTCTTCGCACATTCCTTTCCTAGTTTCTTGTTGATATTCTTGGTCGTTTCTTTTCATTATCTTATTTTGTCTGTTTTTTATTTATTTTTTCCTTTTCTGCATAATTAAGTATTTACTCACGCATGACTGGCCTGAGATAGATATGTGTTATTTGGTCTCCAGGTGGAAGTCCGAGATCTGTAGGTCATATTCAGGTCAAATACAACGGAAACTGGGAGAGTAAAATCTCGACCGAGTATTGGGTGATTACCCATGGAGAGGATGATTTCGAGCACCTCACCAATGGGAATTTGAAGAAAATGAAAGCGCTCAAGAGAAAGTAGGCATAAACGTGATATACGGTTATTTGATGCTCAATGGGATTCACGTTCTCTTGTAATAAGGTCATTTCATCTGAACTTAGAACCATTCCTCTCTTGCACTGTCAAAGTGTATAGCTGGGGCTGGCTGATTGACGGCGAGCAAACTATATACAAGTTCCACTGTAATTTCTACAGACGGCTAGAGGTGCAGGGCCACTGCATAAGTAGTTGTTGTCAGCCTCACACTATGATTGTGGCTGGCTGGCTGGCTATGGTGACCCTTTGATCACAGCCTACTGCTACTGCGACGTGGTCAGTCGATTTCAATGTAGACCTGGATGAACTATCATCGATATGCTACAGATGATTGCCAGATTGCCTCGTATTCTAGTCCGATTGACTCCAGCAAGAATATTACCCTACTCTATAGACATAATAGGGCTGTAAGGAATAACAAAGCTGGGTAGAAACGGGAGTTGCAAAGTCTGGGTGATACAATCCAGGATAGATACTTTACTACTATACCGGAGTTGGGTTAAAAGAATGACCTTGGATGACATATGCTTCTATCATGGATCGGGAATGACTGACACCGACTAAGATTCCTGCATGAAGTATTGAAAACATGCAGGAGAGAGACATGTGACATGCTTTGCTTGGCAAGAATGGAATCCGGCGACGTCAATTTGATTGAACGTCAGTCCGACTCAGACTTGCCCGCGATGCGATAGTCTCTGAAGATGTGGTCGTGGTTTCCAATCATCACTCATTTGTGGCTTGTAGAGTTGCTACTCCCATCATGGCACATAAATAATCGCACCGTGGAACCCGTCGTCGAGATCAGCAATGGAACCCTGCTTGGTGCACACAATGCCCGGTACCATCAGGACTTCTTCCTCGGAATTCCATATGCTCAGCCTCCAGTCGACGATTTACGATACGAGCACCCACAGCCACTGAACGAGTCGTGGGAAGTCCCGAGGCAGGCGGATTCTTACGGATTTTGGTGTCACTCCGCGCCTCTCTCTCTCCCAGGCTACACACAGAATGGGTTTCGCCACGAAGAAGATGAGGATTGTTTGACTATAAATGTTGTCCGCCCTTCTGGGGCGACCCGCGCCTCTCGCTTTCCTGTTCTTGTGTACATCTATGGCGGTGGACTACAAGAAGGTGGCAGCGCAGACCAGCGATACAATATGTCCTTCCTTGTACAGGAGTCCGTCAAAATGGGCACTCCCACGATCGGAGTTAGTTTCAACTATCGAGTCTCTGGATTTGGATTTCTGTCCGGTCGAGCGATCAATGGCTCGGGCCTCGCAAATCTTGGCTTATACGACCAACGGAAGGCACTACACTGGATCCAAGAGAATATTGCCGCGTTTGGGGGAGACCCTACGCGTGTTACGATTCAAGGAGAGTCTAGTGGAGCTTTATCCGTAGGATACCATCTTCTGGCGTATGATGGTCGTGATGATGAACTTTTCCGCGCTGCTATCACTCAGAGTGGCGCTCCGCTTAGTTCAGCAGCGCTCATCCCGCTGGACGAACAGGAGCAGATGTATCAGGATGTTCTCGACGCTACTGGGTGTGTTACCGAAATATGGACCATTGAGTGCCTACGGCGAGCACCGGTGAAAGCGCTTAAGGACGCGTTCCAGCAAAGATTCTTTTTTCCTGTTATGGACGGGAAATTCATCACCGACTTTCCCTCAAATGCGATTAAGCACGGAAGGTTTGTGAAAGTGCCATTGCTGATCGGGTCCAACTTAAACGAAGGGACTGGATATATCGCTTCAGGTATGTTCGGTCCTGTCAACACGCCGACCGATCTGAGAGCTGTGATCACCGGGTTCGGAGCCGGAAAGTATCTTGCCAACGATACCCTTGACGCAATAGTGGATGGGTATCTTCAGTTACCTATCCGTGAAGTCCGCGCTGACTTGGGGACTGTTCTCATCTCCCCTAGTTCGAAGTATGGCTCAATGTATGGATATAGCACGTTCTATATTGGTGACTACCTCGTCAACGCCCCCAAGCGGTATAGTACTCAAATGTGGGCGGCATATGGGATACCCGTTTATAGCTATCTCTTTGCGGCTGTTCCTAATAGCTTGTCCCCTCGGGTTCTCGGTGCCGCTCACTTCCAGGAGGTTGCCTTCGTGTTCAGGAACTCTGATGGAGTGGGGTTTACGTCTCCTCCCCTCCGTTCATTTGATAGCCAAACTGAGCGCCGACTACAAGATATTAGCCACAAAATGACCCGTATGTGGTTAAGCTTTGTAAGCACGTTATCGCCGAACAACCACCAGTGTAGGTTGCTTTGCTGCTTCTCCCTGTTAGGTTGCTCACTACATATAGTGCCGAATTTTAAGACACAATGGCCAGTATATCAGAACCGCTCGGCCGCAAATTTGGTGTTCCGTTTTGCAAGTACAACGGTGGAGCCCGATACCTGGCGGTCGGGGATTATCCAACGTGTCACTGATGCCTTTGATGAGTATAAGTTTTAATTCATGAGCTGTGGTAGATTGCGACCGTCATCGCCGTAGCTCTGGAGAAGGGACGAGAAATGACCTTGGTCTGAGGTGATAAGGTCATTCCGGACCAGTTTCCTAGGCCAGGATGGCAGACAGATAGGGTAGGTAGGTAGTTCTACCACTCAAAAAGCTAAGAGTACTCCTTTCTGGTTTATTTATTTATCTATTCCTCAGGCTTTCCATGACCCTGAGTCACATGTAGCCCCCGTAGCTAGTGTGCACCGCTCTGTAGGATATGTATATATGATAGCGTTACCGCATGCGCGGTCTCTGATTCAGATGTTCTTCCTCCTCACCTTCTAGGGACTAAATGCCGTCTCCATTGCAAATGCGATGACGTCTCTCACAGCCTTGACATCGGGTTTCCAAGCTCTTCCGTTTGATCACTCGCATCCCCTACAATCTCCGATTTTCCTCCTAGTATCTGTGTCAGACTATTGAAGCTCGGACCCGCAGCTTCAATCCGCGTGCGACGTGTTTGTTCCATCGTGTATATATCGAAGCAACAAATGCTCCACTGTTGCATGCTCAATGCCACATCTACACAAATCACTTATCAGTGCTGCCGATTTGACGAGGATATCCGTCCAGTCTGGTGTGTCGCTGTGCGGAGTTGAGCAGGTATCGATGCTTTCTCCTGTCCAGGCTATGATACAGCATCTTCGTATGTGGCCCTGAGGGAGCCGAATCCAGCTGCCGCGTAAACTGGCCCGTGATCAAATATTGGAAACTATCCCTCCGGTGCGGCTTAGCATTCGCCCGGGCCCATCGCATCGCTGATAACTGAAGGGACCTTGGCGTAGTGGTAGCGATACGGGGCCCCTAGGAGCAAGATTCTGCCGTAAACCCAGAAGAGGCAGAAACCGCCGACGGCGGCGAGGAGGAAGCCGCAGAGGGTGACGAACATCCAGTGTTGGCCCATCTTTGTTTGTTTGTTAGCGCTAATCAAACGACCTGGAGTTTCAGAATATGCTTACCCAGAAAATGAATCGCGCATCCTTGCCGTGCCAGCTGTTTCCAAGGTGGTGGGTGAAGAAACTCCAGGAGTACTTCTGGTACTCATCTTGCATAAGAATGCGGACACGGTTCCTCTCGGATGGGTAGTCTTGTATATACTCTTTCCAGATAACGGATAGGAATAACGGTCCAGTCGAGTACATAATGGTGATGTAGGGGAGGACCCAGTGGCGGTCGTGCTGCTGGAGCATTTGGGTCACGCGCACAAAGAAAGGGTGCTGGGGCACCGAGCCCATTACATTGTTGGAGATACCAGTGGGTACAGTGCGGCGCACCCACGCGGGGTAAGCGAGCAAAGGATCCAGGCGACGATTGCAGCCCTGGCTAGAGTTAGACTATCTGTATCAAGAGCGACCATTGCTAGCTAGGTAATCATACGTCGTCTAAGTCGATGTAAGTTCCACCATAGTGGGCCAGAACGAAATAACGGATCGAATCTGCGCGCTGGATGGGGTATTCGTAGCCATCAAAGGTCTTGAGGAACCAGGGGTATTTAGCGGCGATGAACTCGCGCGATTTTCCATCCGTCCACAGCTGGAATAATCGTTAGCACAGATGTTGATATAGGTCAGGTCAGGTCACCCAAGGGTCGTACATACGATATACTCGTAGTCTGGGTGCATATCAATGCATCTCTGCTGGGCATCAACCCATCTCTCAGGAATGGTCTCGTTCTTATAGGTCTGGTGGATAATCTTAGGGATGATCTGGGGGCGTTGCTCGACCAAGCTGGAGTTTGGTGATGGCAACTCGGCGCGGTGAACCGCGTCGGCGGCTCCATCTTCGAAGAGCAGCGATAGCAACGTCGACACACTGCGAGCCAGGAGAATAAGAATGGCAAGGTTGATCAGGAGAAAAATCAAAAGACCGCGCCGCATGGTGGTGGTTTGTGGCGGTCGAGTCGGGAGACAATTCTAGGCCTCAAGAGCTCGAGAGTAGCGTGGAGCGTGATTGGGTCAAATCTTAACGCTGGGACATAAGAGTCAAATAAGAGGAAATGATACTATCAGAACCCAAGCTCCATCGCGAGAGAAGCAATTTAAGAACAAAACGCACCTAAAAATAGGAACGGGCAATCTAAGTTGTAAGGTACATTTTCTTCGCTGGATGTCCCGCTATATGATCGCTGGATGCTGCGCCAGCCGCCGTACCCCACATAATAAGCTGACCGATATCAACTTGAGATCATTCAAGTATTCAATGGATCTTGGTGACTGTCCAGTAGCCAACAGATACGCTTTCTTATCCTGCTGCCTATTTATCAAGCAAGTCGCCACTTATGTTAGGATATCGTCCATCGAGAGACGACACTGGGTTCCTACGGCGGGGATCACACAGTCGCATCATGCATAATGGCCTCTGTATCGCTCTAATACTTGCGTTAACAGTTTTATTTTCGTTATATCTGTTAAACACGCACCTTCAAGACCTTGACGAACAATATCATGTGTGCACATACATGCAAGGCTGGATGTGTTGGCATCGGCCAGGTTTCTTCCAAGGTGATAAAGATCGTCTTCATTACCAAGCCTGAGGAGTCCTTTCAAATTTGTGCAGGAAATGTTTCCTGGTAGGATTTTCTCTATTGGCGTATGATGAAGAAATTCCCACTGACCTGAATCTGAAAAGAGAGCCCTCCATCCTGAAATACGAGTTTCTGGCTTAACCTACCTTAATATATCGAATCGATAGATTGGAGGAGCTGATATCTATCGTCGACCTTTGGTCTTATTAATTGTGTTGTGGCTAGTACTTTATATACACTTACATAAATTCAATGCTTCCCTTATTCTTTGGTTATTATTTTGCTCTAAAATCCTTGTTTGGTGCTTGTATGGTTAGATCTAGGTTTTGAATGTAAAATGTAATATCAGAGTTTGTATAATAATTAACAGGCGGCTAGCGAGGAGCGGAGGAAGGAAGGAGATCAAGGTAGATAAGATAATATTAGACCAATTTACTGCATTACCACACCTGAGGGAAGATAAGTCCCTATATAAAATCTCGAGAGAGCCGTGAGTATAAACATACAGTATCCATCAACTTCTCTCGTTTAGTCCCCTCTCGCGCCTCACTGCCCACGCCTTGATTGCGATGGCCAGAACCACCAGCGACATAATGAAGGCTGTGAAGCCCATGCCCACGGTGAAGGTGAACATGGCGTCCAGCTTATAAAACTCCATGGCTTCGATCACTTGGCGGGCCTATTCGGAATTAGTAAGGAGGGCGTATGGGATCTGCGGAAACCACTTACACTGAGCATGAAAATGAGCCCTCCAGACATAAGACAGAATCCAGTCACAATCTCCGTTGGAGGGCGACCCGGGAGGAATGAGGTTGGTGGGCGCAAGAACAGCAGGATATATGTCATTCCACGAGCAATCGCGAATCCAACGAGCATATTACCCCATTGCTTATGCACCATAGTCGAAGTCATGCTGTCCTGGTGGTGCGATCCCATCATCAACCCCAGCAGAAGGATGATAAGAGCTGGCATCGGGTTGAGGGAAACACCCTGTGACTTGGGAGGCTGCCAGTTCTCATCGTCAGATTCATAGGTAGGGAGTCGTAGAACGGTGTTGTTGAGCGCGTCGCGAATACGCCGGGATTCGAAGAGCATGCCGACAAGGCCGCCACCAAAGAACATAATAGAGATTGAGACGTGCTGCAAATCATTTGCAGTCCACTCTTCCCCCCAGCCGGCTAGGTGCTCTAAGAAGACGTTGGTAACACCATATAACCAGATGACGAACGACTCCACAAACTCGCCGGAGGGAACCTTTGCTTTCCAGTCAACAATGCTTGCTGGGGGCTTTTTGTTCCAGGCCCATCCTAAGTCTGCCCAGGCTCCAGTAAACCGTCCAAGAGTGAGAACACCATACCAGAAGAAGATTCCACCTTTAATAAAGTGTGCCAGACCGTTAAAAACCTCGTTACCCTGGAAGATACCACCATACGTAACACCTCCAGTGGCAATAGCAATAAAGCCAAAGGGAAGAATGATCCGATCAACAACATTATATACAATATTGAAACTGCATAGAACACGGTTTGAGATCATTCCAGGCATGCACTTCAAGGGGAACCGATGGACAAGGGAACTGTAGAGCCAGTCACGCAGACCAGAAGGCTTCGGATGAAGCTCCTCAGGTTTTACATAGCTATCGGCCTCGGTTTGTGACACACAGGATGGCGATAAAGGTTCAGTCCCCTGGCCACTATCGCGGGACCATCGGTATTCGTGTACTGCTCTAGTTGGGTAGAGTGGTTCATGCTCATCCGTAGCGATAGGAAGGAACGTAGCGTGATTAAAAGATCTGGATTGCGACTGCTTGGGCTCGCCACGACCAGCATACGCAAATATCAAGGCCAGAACGACCTGTGCACAGATGAGCCATGTCACGATCCAGCCGATCTTGTGGTGGGCGTTGTTCTCGTACAGATCGGGAGTCTGGCTATTATAGATGATGCCGAAGAGCAGGCCAATGGCATTAAAGAATAGGAACAGAAACTGCGACGGGAGTGCAAGGCGAGAACGGCCAATGCTAAGTACGACGGCTGTCGCGGAGTTAGTCCTGACTTTTCAATACTAGAAAGTAAGTAGCTTACCCGCAGGTAGAACAAGGCACCAGCCTAGGGTCATGAGCGCAATGTGCGCCACGATGGTGCTGGAGTGCTGTCCATAGGAGAAGTAACTCATGAGACCTTCGCTTTGAGCATTGGGTGAGACGGAAGCTGTTGGAGCAGTTGCACTGGAGGTAGCATGCATATCCATGCTTTCTTCCATGTCTATAATTGATTTATCGTCATTATGCGCGATTGCAAGGGACGCTAGAAAAACCGTCGCGTAGACGGCTTGGCTTAACAGCGGCATAAGCTCGGGTAAATTATTGCGAAGCTCGTGTAAAGTAATCAGAGATTTGCGGTAATTGCAAGAGGTCGAAATGGAGGCAGAGCTTCAATCGGCGCAAAAGATCGAAGCTCTGTCGAATCGTGACGTAGCGATACTGCCAAATCCCGTAAATATAAGCTCCCACGACTATGAATCATTTATGGACTATTCAGATGCGATCTAAGCAAGGTCATGCTCACACATGAACGGGGACTGACAGTGGTACTGGGTAGTGTTGGTGGTTGTGGTGTTGAGACTGGGAATGGTATAGGGCTGAGAGAAGTATAAGTATACGACAACCGGCTCGCTTGGGACCCAACGATCGCTGGATGATCGTCAGCCACAACCGCACCGGTACTAGGCAACACAATTGCTCTATCCGACCGGAGCCGCATCTCTTCCACTATGTCTTCCAATGGTGTAGTCCCGTTGAGACCAAGCCCTGCGATGCAAAGTAAGTTGTAAGTCAAGTCAGGCTGACATGGTGGGGCCCTGATTCCAGCACAGCCAATCAGAAGGGTTAGCGATATCACGCTGGATGCAGCGATGCTGATCGGCTCGTAACACACGTCATGTCCAGGAGACGCAGCCCATCCACGTTGTTGTTTGAATCAATGTACATTTACGGATGGAGGTTTACCACCGTAGCTAGTCGACGAGCTAACCTTAGTCAATCGAAATGGAGAATATTCAGTCTACAGCGGCTCGCTCGCTGGCAAATTCGACCTCTCAGATCAAGCCGCGCCGGTCTGGCGTGCCTTGTATGCGATGTCGGCAGATGAAGGTGTGAATCAGCAGAACGCCCTCCGGTTCTTGTCCTTGGAGCCGAGGCTGTCTGTTTGAAAGTAAATTAATGTCTTTAGGTGAAATGTAATGCCAGTCAAAAATTCCCTGCATCTTGCTCAGCTTGCGAAAAAGCAGGCGAGCGGTGCTCCGTTGACCCTTCGTTCAAGAGGATTTCCAAGAGAAGGTAACGCCAGCCCAATTCCTATAGATTTCATACTGTATTTTAACTCTAATCAAATATACATAGTCTGAAGCGTCGCCATGGACATGATGAAGGTGGCCCTGCTTACAGGACGCCCCATTCGGAGGGATCCAGTATAGAGCCGACCGACTTGTCGTCGACAAGACAGCATGGACCTTTACATAGTTTGGATTCTTCTGTCGCAAGCATAATTGCTGAATTGCGCCTTGGCGGGAAGAGACCTGCTCGGTTCACCCATGAGGCTACCGGCGTCAACCTTACATCCAGTGTGGTGGCAGAACTGCTAGAAGAGTACGGCGAGCCAGTGGTATTTTTCATGTTCTCCCGGCTCACGACCCTTCCTCTAGGTATTATTCAAATCTACACCCACGGTTCCCGCTGTTGCTTGACCCGGCCACGATAATCGATAGCTACGAGAAAGCACCCTTGTTGTTCTGGGGCGTATTGGCCATTGCGAGCAAAGACTCCGAGAAGTATGCATCTGACTACCCTCGGTTACAAATTCTTGTAAGGCAATCGGTAGCAGACATCCTCCTCCTTGGTACTCGGTCCATCCACCTTGTTCAAGCTTTACTTCTACTCTGTGTGTGGTCATTTCCCCATGAAGATATGAACAAGGAGCCATTTTCAATGTACGGTGCAGTCGCCATTTCTATGGCACGGTCTCTTGGTTTGCATCGCCCACAACACCCATTCCTTTTATTTGCTGCAAAGGCATCGGAGATCGGAACCACGGAAGCTCGGACGTCGACCTGGCTGTCCTGTTTTATCGTGGATCAATGGTAGGTGGGATTGCTCGTGAGCTGTTCCCGGGCTCGCTGATTCCTCTGCAGGCATACTGCAAGATTCGGGGTGCCAGGTTCCATCAGGGTCGACCACACCATCCTTCAGGCATTGAATGTTTCGACGGCTGGGGTACCAGTGACTACGAGGATTCAACTTCACATCGCTCTCGTCACCTCAAAGATCTCGGCTGCCCTGGGAGAATGTGAGACCTCGGCCACCGGACTCACGGCAGATCCGCTTCCGTTTGTGCGGGTGTTTGAAACTGAGCTTTGCATGATCCAAGACAAATACGCGTGCGAATGGTCTCCTGCCGATGAAGTGTCATTCCTTGACGCGCGGCTGGGCCTGTACGCTTACATTCTCGACCGTAAAAGGACCGAGCCCCCGAAAAGCCTTCATCAAGAGAATGAACTCATCATCCAGAGCAGTATCACGGCGAGACACATCCTAATCGTCCTGACTACATTTCCCGACGCACTGAGGAAAGGGACATTCCACGTGTTTCGCGCTGCAAGCTAGGCAGTTTTCTTCCTCTTACGCATTCTTGGGACGGCACCCAGGGAGTGTATCGATGAGACGGGGATCAGAAACATCATCCGACAGGCTTTCACACTCATGAGGGATTTATCTCAGACAGCGAATGACCGACGGAATCAATGCGGACGCGTCTGCAGAATCATCGAGCACATGATTGACTACGAAGACTGGAACAAAGACACACCCTTCGTAGGTAAAGCCGAGTCATTTATGGCGAATAACTTCGTTGCCGATGTTGCGGCCAGAGGTATGATCAGAGCTGCCAAAGCGGAACGCGAATCCCGCGAGGCCGGGGCAGCAGGAGTTCCGCCGGAGGTCGAGTCGCATTTTGACTTCGACTTCTCGATATGGGATCCGATGGGATGGCCGGTGAATTGGCAGGATGGTGATGACCTACTATTTCTCAACGAGAATATTGGTGGGTCCTCGTGATACAACTCGTTCAGGCCGCTGAGATGCTCTGCGACTCGATGGGGCCATGACATATCTGCACACCACAAAGTTGAATGAGCTCATTTGAAATACAAGCAAAGTTGTGTGCGTTCACTCATGCATAGTATGGATTCAATGGAAGTTCTTTAACAGATTCCATTTATTCGGGCTATTTAGGCTATTATCATGATATCGCTCGTAGGGAAGGGATAGCACCAAGGGCTTTATGTAGACAGCCCCAATGCTATGAAAGCCCAATTTATGTGTGAACCTTAGTCACTGTACTAATTCTCGGGACTGACAAAATCTTGGTCGATCGACGAGCTTGACCTTGTTGGGAGATAGCTAGTCACAACATAAAAACGAGGGCTTATTGGTGGAAATACGCCACAAGCACGCAATTAACACTGGGTGTGTCGTGTATAACTTCGCATATACGGTCGTAACAAACAGGATAATTTCTTATTGGCTCATCGTTCATAATATAGCGGGTTAAATTCCTATAATACTTGTCTGGCCGCGGGCGCTGGCGAACGTTCGGTCTTTTAGCTTTGCACTTGGAGTAATGTTGTCGAGATGAGGAGCGCATTAGGCGACAGGCGATTTTGGTCATGGAGAGCAAAATTAGTATAACACTACCACAGATCCAAACGGTACTGTCAGTTTTGAAGATGCTGAGACCATAAGACTGGTGACCATAATAATCCGTGAAGTCTTTCCGGAAGCCCATACAACTCGTGGCACTGATGCGAAGTAGTGACTGATGCATGATGACCTTACGGGTTTAATTAGTGAATATGTAGGAATGTGGATCGCTAGAAATGCCGATAGCTGCGAGAGTACGGGGAATCAATATCAAGGCTCTCATTACATGTAGCTCTCTTAACCCTGTAGGTTAGTTCCACCTCCGGGGTTGCCTTCGTGTGTATAACTATTAAACAGGTTGTGCCTGAGTAGGCCGATGCTATTCTCGTGAGACACTTACTGAGTTGCCGCGTCGCTGCGCCTCGAAGGGAATCCATCTAATTAGCGACGAGATATACGCACTGTCTTTTGACGAGCACCATGACCCTGATCCCGAGATCTTTGAACCAGTCCGAGCAATAGATTCTACCGGGATCATTGACCCTAGTCAGGTCCATGTGCTTTATAGCATATCAAAGGTAAGTGACTAATTTGGCCACACCTTGGGATAGGACAGCTGTAAACATTTCCAAAAGGACTTTGGCGCTGACAAGATGAGACTAGGATGCGTCATATCCCACAATGAAGATTTTACGAGAGCAACACGTGCCATCTGGTCAGTCACTCGCCGTCATGCGACGTTCTTGCAAAGGTTGCATCATTGTTTGCCCCGAAGCAGATTACTAGCGGAGGACCTCCTCTCCCCAGAGGCCTTAATTAATCTCAAAAGGTATAGTGCCCCAGATATCAAGTTATCTTTTGCGTATAAGCCAATATTTGATAGTCTCTTAGAAACGCCGGTTCATTTCTAAGGCTGGACTTGAGCGCCTACCTTCCTCACCGCGAAACTAGTGGGGATGGCTAGGCTGCGCAAAAGACCACTCACGGACCACTTCTCCAAGGCTGGTATCGTAATGTCGACTACCGAACTGCAAGTCCGAGGAGATTCCGTTTCGTGTCTTACTGTATCCCGGACACCCTGAAGGAAGCCATCAAAAGGTAAAGTTTCCTTTCTAGAACGCGATATCGCTAACGGAAGACATAGATATCACGCGTCCTAGCGCAAAGGGATCTGGATACGTAGTGAATATTCCAGATCAATGCCTATGACACAAAGAATGACAATACTTTCAACCTTTGATTAAGATTGTCTCATGATATTGAAGGTTGGTTGCTTATACATCGATAGACAGCCCTCTCTATAACAGATTAGCAAAAGCGATCTGGCTGAGGTCCGAACTTAGGCAAAGCTTCGGATCAGTCTTTCATAAAACGAGCAATAACCACTAGGAGAACCATCCTCTTTGATGGGGACTTTGGTCGCCGGGTTGACCGAGCACATATCACCTCACGATTGTGTTCATCCTGTGATCCTGTGACCGTGAATATCCGATTATACTGGAGCCCCCGACCGGTATCCCCGCATCGTCGATCTGCATGTTCAATAATCATTGAACGATGGATAGTGATTTCCAGAAAATCAAAGAATGTGGTCCAGTTTAGTAGTTCCTGTGCTTGGGTATTTTTGCCCTGTTTGCAATGTTTGTCTCTCTGCATCCTCTTTCAGGCGGGCGAGTCTGGCACTCCAAAGCCCTAAATTAACTCGATCCTCATTGACTGACTTGTTCGTGGCTAATGTTCTGGTTACACGTCACGACATTGAGAATCCTACTGGATGAAATGGACTAAATGGGCCGTGCAGCACCGCTTGTCCGTAATCGGTAAGGATATACCGAGTCGATCCTCAGACAACCCGACAAGAGCCGAGAGATTCTCAACGGACTTGCCAGCACACTAATCCTCATTGCTACGGAGTACTCTCCTGCGGAAATGCGACGTAACCTTCGAACCAATCCCCGGTAATACTGATATAAACCCCCACCGAGTTCACTTCAATCCAACTTGCGAAAGCCAGATATATACAGATGCCAGTGTAACTGACAACCCCGCCTTTCGCTAGTCAAACGCGACAAATAAACGAAGCAAGATGTCCACCGCACCACGACTGCCGACCTTCCTAATTATCCATGGGTCATGGCATTATCCCGAGCTGTACGGTACCTTCTGCAAGGCCATCGAAAATCGCGGCGCGGAAGTTGTATGCCCCCGCTTACCGAGCTGTAGCGGAGACATCACCCCGACAAAAACCATAGAGGACGATGTCGCTCTGATCCGAGACATAGCTCAGTCCCTGGTACAGAAAGGAAAGGAAGTTTTCGCAGTGATGCATTCATATGGCGGAATGGTCGGCACCGACGCTCTTGAAGGGCTGGGGATTCAGCGTTTGATATACCTGGCAGCGTTTGTACCGTTCTATGGGAAGAATCTTGTTGATATGTGTGGTGGCTCTATGGCCCCATTCATAGTCTGTGTAGGTTTAAATCTGTTTGCTCGTCTGACGTATCCCCAGCCGTACTGTTTAGACATAGTTTGCTGATGTCCACTCCATGCAAACCAGGATGAACAAGGTATGGCGCGGGTTCCCGATGCTGCCTCGGTCTTCTACCAGGATCTTCCCGACGACGAAGCCGCTTTCTGGGCGGAACGACTTGTCCCACAGCCAGCGTCCGCACAGCTCAACCCAATCACCCATGAAGCCTTTCGCAACATTCCCGCCACTTATATATTGTGTGAGGACGACCGGGCAATTCCTGTGAGCATACAAGAGAAGATGATCTCAGATGTGCAGAATGCGGGCGCGAGCATGGACGTTATAAGGATACCCGCGAGCCATAGTCCCTTCTTGAGTATGCCTGATTCAACTGCCGAAATTGTGGTCAATTTGGCTGCAAAGTAGTGTTTGCAAGTCCACAACAGTAAGGGTGAAAATCCGGAAGAAAAAAGGTTGAGTTAAAATTCAGAGTAAGGATTGAGAATAAAACCGATTATTTTTACGCGGGAACCTACACGAAGCCAAGACTTGTTTCTTGGCCCTTGGAAGACAATCGCAAAACTCAGGGTTTGAGAAGCAGTCCGACAGAGAGAATTGATAGCGCGTGTTCATGTAGGCTTAATAATCCTAGAGCGATGATTAGCGACCGATGGTTCATGTAAGGAATCAGTGGCGATATAACTAACGCATTTCTGCTGTCCTTTTAATGTGTGGTTCAGTGATTGGGTTGGCACCGATCGAGCAGTGATGGGATCTGGCTGGATTCCAACATTTTCTTCTAACGCAACTAACGCGCACAGTTCCAACGCTCTGGCTCTGTCGCCCAATAATCACAGGAATCCAAGGATGTGAAAAGGCGGCTCCAGGATATTCGTTACCGACACAAAGGAAAGTCAACGATCGGAGATTTTGAGACTGATCCACGACAGTCTTGGCAAGGTTACCGCTATTTTGTCGGTCTAGAATGCTTGCTTCAAGACGCGGATTCATGGAACCCACCGGCTTTATTTGCTTTAACTGGAACCAGTGTTAAAGAGGAACCACTTCAATGGAGCAAATATATGACGTGTCGCTTCTTTACTCATTTAAAAAGTGCTGATACACGGTGCTAGAATCTAGTGCAGAGAGGGTACGGAGTACAGTGCTACGCCTCTTTTTTTTTTTTTTTTTTATT